AGCAGACTTAAGAAAAATATAAATCTCGAATCTTTTGTTTTCAACAGCTGTAAACATTGCCGATTGACCTTCGCTATTTAAATAATGCTTCGATTTACTAATTAAATTGTCGACGAATATCCAAAAGGACGCGGTGGAAATTCCCGACTCCCAACAGTGGTCTCGATGCAATAACGATGATGCCGTGTTTCGTACAAAATCGAACGGATTTTTGTATCGAATACAGTTCCCTGATTGTTAACACCAGGTTCACGGAGCCCTAAAATCAGCTATGTTATTTTTCTTTGGAAAAGCATCTGANCTTCATAATCAGTAGTTCCTTTTGTATCTTTCAAAGTAGTAGGATTAATATCCTTGATGTTTTCATTATCAAAATCAAAAACCATGTCAAGATAATCTTCACTCTACGAATTATTGATACATCAGGAATAGCATCCAAAAAAGACTTATAATGTTTTTTGATTCGTTCTTTGTTAACAAGTTTCTTGGACCTTTATTTTAATGTTAAATAAAGAATATGTCCCTGATCAATTTGAGAGAATGTAGAAATCATTTCTGTTTTTTAGCATAGCTTTTTCTCCTTGGGAGAGTTTATTTATGCATTCCTCCTCATCTTTATTTTTAAAAATGAATCCAGCAGACTTAAGAAAAATATAAATCTCGAATCTTTTGTTTTCAACAGCTGTAAACATTGCCGATTGACCTTCGCTATTTAAATAATGCTTCGATTTACTAATTAAATTGTCGACGAATATCCAAAAGGACGCGGTGGAAATTCCCGACTCCCAACAGTGGTCTCGATGCAATAACGATGATGCCGTGTTTCGTACAAAATCGAACGGATTTTTGTATCGAATACAGTTCCCTGATTGTTAACACCAGGTTCACGGAGCCCTAAAATCAGCTATGTTATTTTTCTTTGGAAAAGCATCTGATGATAATATATTTACCCGGTTTCTTGCGATTTTTATTGTAATTATTGTCCTGAATAATTTTACCGAATAAATTCCTCGTAAACATCACTTTGCAATCTTAATAATTGTAAAAATCGTAAATTAAAAAAATTGATTTCGTCATTTTGTCGATGCTCGTAAACCCAGTGATAAAGAAGGATGTTGATATATTTTCTTGATAAAACTGAAGCCGTAGTTGTGCAGGTTTCATCTTAACAGAGATCAAAAGAATTATGGAACTTTTGTAATACGTTTTACATATGTTAACACTGTAGGTTTACGAGACTCTAAAAACAGCTATTTTATTTTTCTTTATAAAGGTAAGGATAATAAACTCGCTCGAATTTTTAGCGATTCTTATTGTAGCATTCGACCTAAGTAATAAATTCCTTACAATTGTAACATTGCAATCTTAATAATCGTAAATTAAGCAATTTAAAATCCGATATTTTGACGTTTTCACCTGTAATTCTAGCGTTGTAGAAAAGTATCGATATCGTTCGTTTCTCGATAAAGCTGAAACAATGATCTTTAACAGAAGTCAAACAAATTATGGAACTTTTTAATAATTTGTCTATTGAACAGATATATCGATAGTTCGTCGATTGAATAGCTTTTTAATAACTTACTTAAAACGTGGACTTTTCTGTATAAAGCAATTGATATGTTGTAGTTGTATTTTGAATAATCCATAAGAAAATGTTCAAAATTGTAGATGTTAGAAACTAATATTAATTACGTTGGACTTTCGAATTTTCTCTCATACGCATAAACAAAAGAATGAAATCGTGACTAGACTGCAGATTTTATACATTTCTAATAACAATTAGATAATATGCAAAGTAGCGGAAACATTTAAAGAATTTGAAAATATTATTGCATTATTATGAACATGCTACATTTATTAAGAAAAGGAATAAACATGTAGTATGTATGTAGTTTTGGCATCTTGAAATTATAGAAGGCAATTTTTATTTTGCATAAAGACCCGCAGTCTATTTATAACGATGCGACGACTACATTTATTTAGTTCTCTCGCTATTTTTATTATAATGATTATTTGTATGAAGAAATTTGTTCGATCATCTTCTATTAAAGAGTCTTTATAGTTTCAACAACTTTAAAGCAGAAAATATGAAACCGGTCATCTTGATCGACTTGGTGGATTTAGTGTTAACGAGTTGTATGATATAATTTTAGGAAAACGACCAGACTTTAACGCAGCTTTTTAAAGGATCTGTGTAACATTTCGATAAATTAGATTTGAATGGATTTACGCCTTAAACGTCCACTTTTTACGTGGTAATATTGAGTCTCCTCATTTTGAATTTGGAAGTTCTGGCGAAGGAAGGAACGTTTAATATGAATGTTTTAAAATTTCCCTGTGATGACGTAAGTTTGCACAATCTTCTGCAGAGCAATAACCTATTTCGAATGAAATGTTCACGTGGTTCCAGATCACCTCGCGACCATTGTACAGAGTTTNGAATAAGTGAAATAAATTAAAATTATTAAATAGAATTAGATAGAATAGAATATTTATAGAATATATAATATAATAATAATATATATTTAATATATAATATTATATAATAATATTTATAATAATATATATATAAGAATATATAATATAATAATAATAATATTATATTGTATAATAATATATAATAGAGAACAGAATATATTCTTAAATAGAATTATTTAAGAATACTGTTGCATCGTCGTCGACTCATTAAAATGATTCGAAGAAACAATTAAGCTTTATTTTATTTCAATTTCTCCAGTTGACTCGAACAATCCTTATTTTGCATAAAGATCCGCAGCCAACACGAAAAATTAATTGATATTGTTCCTTTCCTGAAAATTTTTGACAAACTACAATCATTAAATGAATTTTAACAAAACATTTTCGGAAACGAAATATTCGATAACCATTGAATTTTCGATGCTTTTAATCGTACCTTTCCGTGACGTAATACACAAGCTACATTATCAATGTCTAAAACATGAATATTTTCCAGAAAATCGCTTATATAATACGTCGTCTCGATGTACTATTATCGCCGACATTTATAGTGTTTCTTTATCGTCAACATTGTAATCTTGCTTTATCTAGAGCTACATTATATCTAAACCCTATCGAATAGATTTTCTCAACGTTTTTTGGTTCGTTCGATGATATTACATAATAAATAGCTTCGCGGCTTGAAATATTCAATTCATACTAACGGGGAATAAGTAGTTAGCACCGAGGAAACTTTCCAAAAATATAGCAACTTCTTTATTCGTCATTTCACGTCGCTTATAAACCTATAAAATATGAACATGGTATGCAACGAAATTATCTTCCAGTTCAAACAATATTAATCTCGTATAAATAAATTAAATGTATTTACATTTTATTGCCGAATTAATGGGATATAAACAAATTGTCGATTCTATTCGCACGCGTCGTCGTCCCATCTGGTGGCGCCGTCTACAGTACGCTACTTTGCAAATGCGGTTTCGTTACCGCCATTTTATTTCTTAACGCGACAAATTTTCTCCGCTTCACCGTCGCAAAGAAAATGTACGCATTTACTTAGAATTTTCATCATTTCACTCAGCAAATGTTTCATTCGAAAGCGTTGGTAATTGTATTCCGTAAATATATTTATGGAAACACGTTGTTCGCACAATTTTCTAATGTTTATAATTTAAAATACGTTTCAACATATTTAATTCAACACCAATAAAAACTATATCGATATTATCGCCAATTAAACACTAAAAATTATGAAATTTATGCGAGGATGTGCCATTTCTCATTCCTAAAGCATTCGTTTCAGATTCATCCGATGTACGCATGATTATTTATAATTATTAATTACTAATTAGCATCTCGATTAACTTATCATCGCAATGTGCAGCAAACGTGTCGCACTATATACATATTTTTTTATGTCTGTGTGTTGCATCGTATGAACTTTTTAAAACGGTTATCTGGTACGATGCAATTACGTAATTAATTTATCCTTTCAAATACGTGTTAAAAATTTCAAAACAATTTTCATAAATTATGTCAATCACGAAAGCGATGATCACTTTCGTATTTATTCCCTTTTCTTATCAATCTTCCCAGCTGCTGTCGTCCCACTCCGCATGTTCTGACTCGCTGTCCAGTATTTCCAATCCTAGATCTTCGATCGCGTCTTCTATTATCTCATCTTTCGTCCAAAATATTCGTGCGCCATTGTTTCCACGTGCCAGTAAAATCCTTCCCAATCATTTAGCGTCGTTTCGTTTATCGCCTTGCACACCAATGCCTCCAGTTTCCCGCACGACAGCTCTCCGATAACACTTTCTTCGCGTATTTTATTCTTCCACTGTGCCCAAGCAAGATCTAGCGGGTTCAATTTGCACATATTATTCGGCGTCAGTCTCAATACACTGTGACCGTGCATTTTCAAGAGTTCGTCGATCTTATAAGTTTTCGTCAACTTTTTGTGTCGCTCTACGAGTTCCGAAAGCTCGTGCTTTCTCATCGACTCGACGACATTCGGTATATTGTTCATTGTCAGCCACGTTATCATACTTTTCTTCGAAGCGTTCAACGACGGTGGTTTATGCAATTGCAGGTACGGGGCATTAATATTATAATTAATTATAATATTATATATTATATAATATTATATATAATATATTATAATGATAATAAATAATAATATTATATATATAATATAATATATAAATATTATAATTAATATATATATATATATATATATATATATATATATATATATATATATATATTATATTATATATAAATATTATAATTAATATATATATATATATATATATATATATTATATAATATATAAATATTATAATTAATATATATATATATATTATATAATATATAAATATTATAATTAATACGGGCCACTAATTGGTACGGGGCATTATCCATGACTATCACGCTAGCCGGCGGAATGTTCGGTAATAATCTCTCCCTGATCCATTTCTCGAAATTATTCGAATCCATTTCACCGCGATAGTCGCCCGTCATCGACCTGTATTCGAATATCAGATCTGCTCCATTCACCAGTCCGCTTCTTTCACCTGCGAGGACTACTCTGTCAAACGTTCGAAAGCATACGAACTCTTAGAAACGCCCGCCGTGCCTTTCTCGTTCGCGACCAGCATTTTCCAAAACTCAAAGAAGTGTCCACCCATGTTTCGTCCAAATATATAATGTTCTTTCCTTGTGTTTTATAATCATTCAAAGCTTCCAGATATTTGTTTCGCTTGTTCACGATATTCGGCGTTTCAATCAAGATCTGCTTGAGACTGTGTTGCTTCTCTTCTTGCATTTGTATCCCATGCTTTTCAAAAGCTAGCGAAGGGCGTGCATCGTCCATGGAAAGTGTATTCTCTCCTGTAACGTGGTCAACAATTTTGGACCAGTTGGAACAATTTTTTTCTCCACGTAAAATTCATAGATTAAGTCTCTTATGACTTTTTTGCACTCGTCGATACAATAAAATGTCTGGTCCGTGCATCGCGGCTGTTTTCTGTCCGGCGATGATAACAGTTCTTCTCTCCATACAGCGCCTTCATCTCGTATTCTGGCGATTGTCCGTTCGGAAACGCCAACGTAGTCTGTTGCATGTGTAGTGGCTCGTTGTAGCGGATAGAGAAGTGCAGTCTTCGTCGCATTTTTTAATAATCCTTATCACTATGTTTCTAGCTTCGTTGTGAATCGTTTGTCCCCTTTTCCGTGTGCTCATTTTTGCTGGTTCGACTCGACGATTAATGCTACGCGTTAACAGAAAAATGTGATCATTTCAATTAGTCGCTCCAACTGCGCGCCTGTATCACAACTTAAATCGAGCTAAAGTGAAGCAAGTTACGATATAATATTAGCTTGGTGCGTATGAAATGTCGGATTTTTAAACGAATATAGAAAACTCCTACAAAACTGCTCTATAAAACTGCTATATATAAAACTAATGTATATCCTTTTTCAAAAGCTGTTTATTTAATCAAAATATGTTCCATTTGCTTCAATACACCTTTCCTAACGAGATTTTAATGCATAGATACCTGATCTTTAGAATCGATAAACTCTGATATGAAATTTTTCAGACTGTCTTCATTTTAATACTGTTTAGCCCGTAAAAACTGTTCTAAATGTTTAAAAGCAAATGAAAGTCGGTTGGCGAAAGATCCGGCGAATAAGGTGGGTGCTGCAAAATTTCATATTTTAATTCATTTAACTTCGCAATTGTTTTGTACGACGTATGCGGCCGAGCGTTGTCGTGGAGAAGTATGTCGGTCATGCCGATTAACAAGTGGTGGGCGTATAATTTTCAATCTTTCATGCATTTCATCAATGTACCGGTAGTACTTTTCGGCTGTAATTGTCGTCCCAGTTCGAAAGAATGAGTAGTGAATTACTCCAGTCACATTCGTTTCCACCAATGCTTACAGAGTATCATTTTTCACAGACGTTTTGGGTTTTCCATGCAGTTCATTTTGTAGGGAAAAATCATCAGACCGAAAATTTTCAAACCGACGCAGCACTTTTCGATCGTTAACAGTATTCTTCCCAAACGTCTGCTTTATATTACGTGCAGCTTTTGCAGCATTATTATCAAGTTTATACTCATATAAAAATGTTACACACACACACACAGAGAGAGAGAGAGAGAGAGGAGTATCGGTTGAATTCATATCCTTACGAAATTCAAAACAAATAACAAAATGGAACACTTCTGAGAAAATTTTCTTTGTTGAAAAGTAACTCCGGCAATGGACAATACGACTATAAATCAGATTATGCCAAAAACAAAAGCATAACGTAAACAGGGAGACAAACGTCACATGTAAAGAAAATCCGATACTTCATATGCACCAACCTAATACCTTTTGCAGTCAAGTTGACAAGGTTTATTTGTACGTTCTTCAACGATTTCAAATTTTTTGGAACAAAAGAAAAGTTAAAATTAGTGGCACTACATACTTTCGGACATAATCGCTTTTAAAAAGGTCGTCTTTTGGCGTCCACGATTCCACCATTCTGCTTGTTCGAAATAACAAAAAAATGACGTGAGAGATCCTTAATTAGTATGAATTTGATTTTATAATAGATACTAGAACAAAAGAGAAAAGTCAGTAATTAAAAAAGCGGTGATACGGTAAATTATCCCTAATTAACGCTTAGATTGTACACAAAAATGGACAATTTGAAAAGGGGAGATACGATTATTTGAGTCTTGTGGCTCGTTTTTATAGTTACCGATTGTCAACAACTATAAAAATCCTCTTCCCAAATTGTCCATTCTTGTGCACAATCTGAGCGTCAGTTAGGGAGAATTTACTGTACTTTGAAATTCGATTATCGATTTTTGCCTGTTTCGTTAAACTTCGGCGGCCTAAAAAATAAAATGAATAAATATTTTTTTGTTGATTCTAGTAGGGGCTATGGTCGAACATATACTAAATGCGTATTAAAAATTTGTAATCAATTGATCAATTTGTATTTAAGATATCATGGAAACCGTTCTGGAAAACATAGTCTCAAGAAAAATGCCTTTAAAGTTTAATACAATCGATAGTGATATAAGGTTGTCGTGTCCTTTAAGCAACCATAACTACGTTAATTTTAGGAGATGGTAAGGTTCCAGAGATGTAGTTTTGAAACTATATTCTCTGAGAATATGCAAAGAAAGAATATTGATCTTTTGAAAAGTCCACACTAGAATGCCCCCTTAAGTCCCGTATCATAAATGTCCTCAAAATAAATAAAAGAACTATACCGACTATAAACCAGATTATGCCAAAAACAAAAGCATAACAAAAACAGGGAGACGAACGTGCACATGGAAAGAAAATCCGACATTTCATATACGCATCAACCTAATAATTAATATCTGTCAGAATATCTAAGATTGAGAATTATATCGAGACCGATCTTTTGGCAAGGAAAATTCTGGAGTACACTGTGCCTTGCTCGGGAGAAGTCTGCTGAGAAAAATGTAGGACCGATACCCATCCATTCCTAACGCCCTCGTCATAGACGAGGGGACCAGCGTAGGCATGCAATTTAACCACGCACGGCTACGCGTGCGCAGGGCGTCTACTGGGTGAACGTTGTAATTCTGAACTACGATGGCGACGCAACGTACGGTGATCTGAGACGACCGAAAACGGCTAAAACCCTAGGAAAGCTCTATTTCGAAGAAAATTTCGACGAAAAGTGTGTTTGTTACTGTTTTTGGTCACGAATAATAAATAAACTAAATAAGTAAGAAATAAATAATGAATTTGACACGTTAATTGAATATAAAATAAATTGAAAATAAAATATAATTGAATTTAAATTAAAATTAATAAAAAATAATGATGTAAATTAAAAAAAATAGTAATTTCATGTAATTTAAGATTAAATGAAGTAAAATGTATACGCTTATGTACAAGATTTAACGGAAGTTTCTTATTTATAGGTTACGTTTATTTGCAGTTTAGTTAAGCTTATTATTTACACGAATATAGTGTATACTTATACAAATTAATATAACCGTTTGAGTGCTGAACAGCACTATAACGCTCTTCTTGTATTCTGCCAAAATTGCGGACAGAGCGATAGCGCTTCTGTTTATCAGCATCAATTTTACCGTTAGTATATTTGCAACAGTTAGGTCTTCGACTTGTCTAGTATGTGCTTGAATTCATTCTGAAAACTTGCCCAGCATGGCCGAATTTAAAATATTCTATAACCAAGCGAATTTGGTTTCTGAACTTTTTCACCCTTGAAATGTTTTTGTTGACTCCCCTACTGGTCAAAAATATAACAAATTTGATTGTTTAACACAAGATTTACGGGACCCGTCAAAATAACGGGTCACTAAATTTTTAATTTATGATTATTCACATCGTGAAGATACGTTTATGAATTATTTATTCAATTTATATGTTACTTACGGCAAATGTTACAATAACACTTGTTAAAAATCAGGATAAATGTCTTATGGTTGTTTTTATAAACTAATATAAAACAGCTGTTTCTTGTGCTCTGTAAATCCAGTATTAAGAGACTTGAAAATTTGGGACTTTTGCCACTCTCGGAGCACTGTACGACGCGACGCAGAGCTGCAGATGGTTTTACAATGTTCACCCGATAGACACCCTGCGCACGCGTAGTCGTGGGTGGTTGAATTGCATGCCTGCGTGTCACGCGGAGCGAGTAGAATACCCCTCTTGCCTGCCCCTCTGCCTTAACGGTGGACTTCTTGCGAGCAAGGCACGGTATCGTGTGTGAAAATGATCACTAACCGTCCAATTACGATCACAATACGATATACGCAATTGCTGCACAAATGATATTTTTATTAAATATTTTTCTGAATCCTAATTTTTCATGATTTCATTCGTTTCCGGCGTGAAATAAGCTTTCCACGTATACAACATTTTATTCGAAGTATGTACTCCGCAAATTGTTTCAATCATCGATTCGAAGAAATAATGTAGTTTCACCGGCAATGAAGGTTAACTAAGGGTTCGCAACCTTCAATTACTACTTAAGCCGTCTTAAGGAACACGCCGAAATTCCTCTGCCAAAACGTCTGGATGTAGAGATAATCATTATATTAGGTCTACCGGAAAGTTCTGTCCGATAGTGTCACTTCAAGTTTCAATCCATATGCACATGTTGATTCGAGACATATATGACTATCTCTCTTTATCATTGCATTTACACACATGTACTCTCCTAAATAAACTGAAACAAAGATGTCTCATGTCATTATTAAGTGAGTCGCGATCGTGAAAACATGGCTACCGATGATGATGCCAGACCACATGCTGCTTTGGCGACTCGTCAGAAAATCGCAGAGCTAGGCTGGGAAATTCTGTCGCATCCACCATACTCCCCGGACCTAGCACCCTCCGATTATCACTTGTTTCTCTCTTTGCAAAACTTTTTACAGGAAAAAAAATTCAAAACTGAAGCTGATGTCAACCAAGCACTAGTTGAGTTCTTGGCTTCTAAAAATGAATCGTTTTTTAAAAATGGCATTTACAAGTTGCCATCACGCTGGCAAGAAGTCATAAGTAACGATGGAAAGTATATTCTACAATAAGTATTATTAAATGTATGAAAATTGTGTTATATTTCAATTCAAAAACGGACAGAACTTTCCGGTAGACCTAATACTTGAGCATCAATTGGTTACCCGACTCTAGCCATTCAAATATTGGAAAGCTTATTCATACATATTTCACATAATAATTGATAAAAATTTCTTGGCTTTCGAAACTATTACATGTGATCTATAGACTGTGGTGTAGCAGTGATTATTTATAGCGTCATTGTTCTACGTGGAGCATGAAGATCTAATTGCAAGTATTGCGATGGCTTTATGAGGATAATTATAGACTCTGTTTCGTACTTGGCGAAGGAATTTACCGGCGGTGTAGAAGGGACGAAATACATGATTCTGTCAGAAAGGTTTAGAATATACCAACAACTTATTATATTTATGCGAACCACGCGCGGACAAACATTCGAAATGTATATTTACGATTGAAAACTAGTCAACTGGTACGAACTAAATAACGAATACGTGAAGCTGGGCTTCTGAATAAAGCGCAAGGGCGCAAAGAGTAGAATGTAAGGGCGGAAAGAGTAGAACGCAAGGGCGCAAAGAGAAGATTGCAAGGACGGAAAGAGTAGAATGCAAGAACGGAAAGAATAGATGCAAGGGCACAAAGAGTAGAATGCAAGGGCGCAAAGAATAGATGCAAGGACACAAAGAGTAGAATGCAAAGGCGCAAAGAATAGAACGGAAGGGCGCGAAGAGTAGAACGCAAGGGCGCAAGGAGTAGAACACAATGGCAGAAAGAGTAGAATGGAAGAGCGCAAGAAGTAGAACACAATGGCAGAAAGAGTAGAATGGAAGAGCGCAAGAAGTAGAACACAATGGCAGAAAGAGTAGAATGGAAGAGCGCAAGAAGTAGAACACAATGGCAGAAAGAGTAGAATGGAAGAGCGCAAGAAGTAGAACACAAGGGCGGAATGAGTAGAACGCAAGGGCGCAAAGAGAAGAAGGCAAGGGCGGAAAGAGTAGAATGCAAGGGCGAAAAGAGTAGAATGGAAGGGCGCAAGGAGTAGAACGCAAGGACACAAACAATAGAATAGAAGGACGCAAAGAGTAGAACAGAAGGGCGAAAAGAGTAGAACGCAAAGGGACAAAGAATAGAACACAAGGGAACAAAGAATAGAGCAGAAGAACGTAACAAGTAGAATGCAAGGGCGAAAAGAGTAGAACGAAAGAACGTAACTCTTTACGAATGCAAGAGCACACGCAAGATTTGAACTTATTAACGTCACAGGGGACCGTTAAAAACTGTCGTCGCGATGTGCGCCTGTATATGTATATATGCACCTGCACGTGCTCAATAGCAAGCATCGTCAGGCGCTGCACAGTGGCACTGTGTATGTGTATGTGTGTGTGTGTGTGGTATGAACTCAATTAAACTTTTTTTTAAATAATTTAATGCAGTAAAATTACATCTTGTTTTTTCGATCGTTTCGCGCGTAGTACTAACACGATTGAATTTATACATATCATTTGTAAATGGTTGCAAACAGATATAATACTGAGTAGACGGATCAGAGGCGAATGAGATAATAATACTACATTAACGGTTGAACTGTGAAACATCGTGATTTTTTTTTTATTTCGTATCATATACTGAGTGTTTTCCCTAATTAACGCTCAGATTGTGCACAAAAATGAACGATTTGGGAAGAGGAGATACGATTATTATTATTATGTTTATATTAATATAATTGTAATTAAATTGTTAACATAATAATAAATATTATTATTATGTTTATTATGTTTTTATAGTTGTTGATAAACGGTAATTATAAAAACGAGCCGCAAGGCTCAAATAATTGTATCTCCTCCTCCCAAATTGTCCATTTTTGTGCACAATCTGAGCCGCAATTAGGAAGAATTTATTGTACATAACTGTAAGTGATTCTTATAGCTACAAATATACATATTATTATGTATTAAATACACATACATATATTATTATTATATTACATATACAAATATGTATATTTCTTGTATATATGTTACTTGTTTCATTGTATCATGAAAGAATCAAAATTCAATTATTAAAAAGAAAATTGAAATATAAAAATGTTATCTTCCTTTTTTATGTAATCGATTCAAGCGGCTTTGGCGTGTTAGATTAGTCAGCAGTTGTATCGCATAAAAACAAAAGTTTTTTTAAAGAAAATTTTTGGTATTTTCATTAGAGTAACAAACGTACCACTTTCAATTGGACAAATGATTTGACTTTTTTTAAAACGCCGAAAACTTGACTTTTGACCGCTGATACGTATTTCCACTGTGCGCCGATTGCTGAACGGTTTGACTAAACAAAGGGACATTTTGAACGCGACGTTCGAATTGTCCGTTACGGGCGGGCGTTTGGCGGTCGGGTCAACGTTCGGCGATGATTCGTGTTGTTTTTCGTGGTGACATTCAACGTCTCCGATCGAAAAACTCTCCGCGACTTTGGTCGCGTTTAAAAGTCGGCTGTACATCGACTCGTAAAACCGCGATTAGGCTCGAAAATAGACTCGAAATAATTTTTACATTTTTAGTGATATTTAACCCCTTCCTATACTTTGACGAGTCTGACACGTAGTAAAGATTTCTAGTAATAACCTGTTAAATATGAATGCTATTCCGTTCTTTTTAGTCTGAATAAAGTTCCGATTTCTTGTCATTGGTACTTAAATATTTAAATAAATGTAGACACACGATAAATATAAATCGTCTTTCTGGCATGACAAGAGATTAAATAAATACTTAACGATATATCATATTTGTATACTTTTTTATTTTCTATTATTTCGAATATATAGAAATATACACTTTTATGAATATATACTTTTTCCTTGGTTTTTGTTTAAATATCTGTAAAAATGTAAAAGCTACTTTGAGTTTATAATTATTCACAGCGCTGTAGGTGGTCCCCTTTAACTGAAATATTCTATATATTTAAAAAGAACTCAACAAACTACCATATTTGTATATTTCTGTATTAGAAATAATAGAAAATAAAAATATGCGAATATGATATTTTGTTAAGTTTTTGTTTAGATATCGATAACAATGTAAAAGTTACTTCGAGTCTATAATTATATGCACACCGCTGTATTTTTCTATATTCTATATTATTGTTATATCTATAATTTCCTCCTAACAG